AAAAAAAAAAACATCGGGGCATTTTCACAAGTACTTGTAAAAATGCCCTGTTTTTTCCGCCCTCACCCTGCAGCGCCCTCAGGCGGCCGCCTGACTTGCCTTGCGGTAGCGCCGGGCCTGCAAGGCACTTAATATTAATTTCTGCTAATTCTGATGCTGAACATTTGGAGTTTTAGGTGATCCCCTTTATTGGCCAGCTTAGGCTATTAAAGTTGCAAGCTTTCCGGATTCCATAGACCCATTAGTCAGTCTAATCATACAAGCCTAAAGAAGGTACCTAAAGAATCCTGAAAGCTTGCAACTTTAATAACCCAAGTTAGCCAATAAAGGGGATCATCTAAATCCCATACGTTCTGCATTAATCAATGCTTAATGCAGTATAATCCTCTACCACTCCTAAACCAGATGCAGAACATTGGGAGTATAAGTGGTCCCCTTCAATGGCCAACTTAAATTATCACCTGCCAGGGGCGTGGCCGAGATGTGAAGCAGAGCGGACGTGTCTGAGGGAGCTCCGCCGCCACACTGAGCTTCATCCGGCTTTAATCCTGCAGACTCGGTTCCTGTTCTTCACACCCGAGCTCCGGTGGATGTCCGGAGCAGGGGGATATGCCCTCTAGGTCTGGCAAGCGAGGTAATACCCCGAAAGGTGGCTGGAGGAGATCCCAGCGTGCGGCCTCGTGTCCCGCCGCCGCCATCTTGCCGCCGTCCATTGCTCCCTGTGAGTGCTCACGCCGGACCTTGTGCATGGAGGGAGTAGCTGCAGACGCTGCTGAGGTGGCGCTGGCCCCTCCGGAGCAGCCTGTCTCCCCATCGACCACAAGTAAGGAGAGGGCTGAGCTATCCTGGAGGCCATAGAGGGCTGTAAAATCGCCCTCACAGCCAAAATAGACCATCTGGCAGTGGAGTGCACATTGATCAGACATGATCTGGACAAAATTCGGGGCAGGCTGTCCCAGGCGGAGGCGCGGGTGTCTGGGGTGGAGGACTCGGTACAGGAGCATGAATAGAGAGGGGCACTCGCCAGGGATGCCCATTGTCACCGAGCTTGTTTGCTTTGGTGATGGAGCCCCTGGTGATTGCTCTCCGCTCGTCGCGAGAGATCTGCGGCCTAAGAATAAGCGGTATAGAGGAAAGACTGGCACTGTATGCGTACGACCTTATCCTGTTCCTAGCAGACGCGGGCCAGTCACTACGGGAAGCACTGAGAATTTTAGACACCTTTGCAAGCTTCTCGGGGCTGCGGGTAAATTGGTCTAAGTCCCATGTAGTCCCCCTAGATCCACAGACCAGATCGAGCGCAGACAACTCCCTCCCTTTACAGTGGGTTGACAAAATCACTTATCTAGGAATCCAGCTCACTAAATCGGTTAGGGATTATTACACCCTCAATCTTCTCCCACTGTTGTCCCAGCTTAAGACGCGGGTGGAGTCTTGGAAACATCTCCCCCTGTCCCTGGTGGGCAGGGTTAACCTGATCAAAATGAACATTTTGCCTGTTTTCCTGTATTATCTTAGGAACTCGCCAGTCTG